GTAATATATTTACTGAGAAAAATGGTGACGTGTTCAATACTTATTTTACCCGCTGTATATGTCTGTGTGTATTTATCTACAGTATGTGTATATCCATATGTATGTATGGATATATATGTATACATTCTTTACAGAAAATAATTTTATTATATGGATATGTATTTTGTTGCTATGTTTTCTTATATTCGTTTATTTTCAGGTAAGCAGACAGATCTCAGGTGTGTGGTTTTGTGTTTTCTTGGTGTATACTATATTTTCTAATCTCTCAGTCTTTCTAATTGCGTTTCTCTGTTTTATCTCTTTTCCTCTTTCGTCTTTATATAACAAAAAAATCAATGATGATGAAGAAATTAAGAAACTAATAAGTTCTTTTTTTTCTACTGAATTGATTAAAAAAAGTTAAAATAACAGGTTTCCCAACAGTAGAACGGTTATAGAAGAAATAATCTACCAAACACAATTTTTGTGCTAACACTTTACAATATATCTTTAAATATAGTTGAAGTGTTTTCTGCTTAGTTTTGTTTCAAAAATGTGTTTTCTATAAGGATTGTTTTTTTTTAATGTTTTCACAAATTCTTTTGATTTTGTTTTGTTGTTTTAATAGCATACATTTTTAACGTACCTAGTACATAAATAGCCATATTTTGTGCAATGTTAATAGTTCTGATCTTGTGTTTTATTTTGGGTTTTTTATGTGCCTTTGTTTTGCATCTTAAAACCACCGTAGGAAGTCATTTATTGTCTGTTTAAAAGGTTAAAAAAAGGGCTTTGGTTTAAAGATGTTCTAATAAACACTTGAAAAAAAAGCGATTGAGACCAAAATGAAGAAAACCTGTAAAAACAGCAGTTTTGTTCTATCCTGAGAAAGTGATGTCAGAGTGAACCTTTGGGGTTTTTTAATCTGAAACCTTAGATTCTCTGATTAACGATGTTTAGCAGATTATACGTTTCCTGCTGATTTCAGATCTGTTACTCATCATAAATRAGAACATTTCACATTTAGAGGATTTATTCAGTAAATGTTTCCATCTAGACTAACTGCTTAAAAACAGACTTTGTCCTCTGCTATTGCTGTGATGGACTCACTGTCAGGGACCGGGTGTGCTGTGACGAAGGCCCTCTGCAGCCCTGGTCCAGGACGGTGGAGTGATGAGGGTCTCCTGGCAGCCCCCCACTCAGACTCTGCCCTATCCAGTCAGGGATTCTTCTCTCAGCAGGCTGGATACAAACAGGAGAACTGTTTTGTCACACGAACATGATAAACTGCAGATTTGACCCTGAGCTGCTTCAGTTACCTGGTAGATGCTGAGCGGCAGTCTGGGAGCTGCGGTCTCACTGATGTTCATGCTGCTGCTCTCTGTGGAGTCGCACTCCATGATGGTGAGTATCTTCAGGTCACATGGAGCCGGAGGCAGGTGGAGGTGAGTCAGTCGGGCCTTTTTCAGGTGGTGAAAGTCTCCTTCGGTCAGGGTGTACCTTGAGGATGAGGAGAATCATCTGACCTCAGACCAACAAATCCAAACAAAACCTCCAATTCGATGATGAACCCCCCCCCCTACCTGCGTCCTTTTTCCTGGGTCGCTTTTTCCTGTTCGTAAAGTGCAGATTCATTGAAGGAGACTCTGCGGCCCGTCGACCCGGTGAAAACAAATCGCTCCGGCTCTCCATCGTGACAGCTCGAAGCCGAGAGGGCGTCTGATTCATCCAGACGAATTGTAATTTCTGAGGACCAAAGACAACACGGACGCACCGATAATGGCGAACGTGACAACACTGAAACAGAATCCGTGAGAATTTTTTATTTTTTTTAAGCTCAGCTCTGACCTTGTGTGGGCTGAGAATCCTCAGCATAGGTGGTGTTTGTCTTCTCAGGGTCATCGCTCGCTCTGAAAAAGAGGAGATTAGTTTTACTCTCCTGCAGAAGCGAGCGTCTGGCTTGTCCCATGAAAACGGCCCCTCTGGACCCACCTGGAGTAGCGCCGTCCGCCCAGGCAACAGCGGTGACAGAAGAGGAGCAGCAGGGAGAGCAGGACCAGCGTCCCCCCGGCAAAAACACTCAGCAGCACCAGCAGCAGCACATAGTTCTCCGCCTGGCCGGCCGACACGGGCACGTCCTGGTGCTGCCGTGGACAGAGGTCAGAGGTCATGCTCTGCACACTGTAAAGGCTTTTTACTGGGTCTTATCCTGATGTGTTTCTGAAATTAACTGCATCATCAGCAACAGAAAAAACAAAAAGATAAAAAACATGAAGCACACGTTGACTGAAAATAGCTGATTTTTATTTCCTATTTAAAGAAGATACATGCAAAATCCCTCTGTTTTAGCCATTAAATACATTTTGTTGTGGACTTGGAGTCTCGTAAGAGTGCAGAACATTTCTCTGTGCTGCGTATCTCAACTTTATATTCTGTTTGGGTCGTATTTTTCAATCCGTTCAGTTTTTTTTATTCTCTACAATTTTGTTGTCTTTCTCCTCTCGTCATGGGTCAGACTCTGGCTCCGACAAGTATGGCTGATTAGACAAGTCTTCCCTTTTTTGACGTCTTTTAATTTGTTTAAAGAAAAAAATTCTGCGCTGCTAGTTGTAAACTCCTTTATCAAAGTAGGATGGACCACTGGAAGCTAGATGGAGGTAGGGTGGATTTAAAGAGACAGCGTCAAAACGAGTTAATCTGAGACACACCACAGAAAATGGGGCTTGTGGAGTTACAATAATGAGGAATTCAGACCAAAGCATTGCAGTTTCACTTTATATAGACACAGACTGAATGATTTAAATGTGGAAAAATAAGGATTTAAAAGCAGGATTTGTCTCCTTTGAAGTGTGAAGAATATGTTTTGCATTTATTCTTGAAAACCTGGAAACTCACTCGCCCTCTTCCCAGCAAGAGGTTGATTGAGTCTCCATTATTACACACTGTTCTCTTGATGCCAGCTGTGTTAAGGGACAACTTACTCTCTTTTTTATTTTATGTAGATTTGTTACAAGTAAGAAAAAGCAAAAGTGCTCCACTAACAAGTCACAAAACCACAACGTTCGTGGCCAAATTTAACAAACAGAAGAGTAAGAAGTCAAATAAAACTACATCATTGCAAACGTCAGCGTTATTATTGCTCAGACTTGCTCCTCTCTGAACTCTATTACAGTTTGAGCTGCGGAGCATCAATTTAATTTCCACGTCTCTGCTTTCAGAGAAGCATCCATATCTCTGCTGTCATGTTCTGTCGCTGTGAACATGGTGGCAGCTTTTCTTTTTCTTTTCTTTTCTTTTTAACTCTACTGGGACAGTAATTGATTCAGCTTCGATTTTATCTTCTATTTTTTACACTGAAGTGAAGGATCTCTTTGTGGCATTATGCTGTCAGCTAAGATTTAATGAGTGGAATTAACACTGAAAGACTCCTCGCCGCAGCACTCATCCAGATACACTCTGTTCTGCATCCGCTCACACACTCGTGCAGACAACACGACTGCTCTCTTCTGATTAATACACTCAGTCTTGGCCGAGTCGGGTCAGGGATGCTAATCGAAACGTCAGCAAGACCCTTAATTCAGTTTCCCAGCTCTTCTCAAAGAGAGGGAAACGAGGCCTCTGCAGGCTAAAAATGGAAGTCGGAGGAGGAGGAGGAGGAGGATGCCGACGCACATGAACAATCCCCACTGAAGACTTTCCTGGCTCTTCTCCTAAAGTCAGCTTTAGAGAAGGGCTGAAAATAATTTGTCTCTTCACACCATCACAACACATCTTCAGTCCAACAACAAGAGAGAGCGAGGACGAGCTCACAGTGGAGACACAGGAAGCCGTGATCGTGTGAGAAGACATTTCTCCTCCACTTTTTAAAAAGGGTTCTTCTGTGGCTGCAGATGTACGAGCATCCATCAGTGTGAGTCCGGTTCAATCACAGGCTCAGCAGCCAGTCAGCGGACAGACGAGGCAATGCTGCTGAACAGGAGAGGCTGGTGCTGCTAACACAGAGAGACAACCCTGACAAGAAAAACACATTTGTCCTTTTTTGTTTTGTTTTTACCTCAGCCTCAAATGCTTTGGACACGTTACCCTGAAGCTAAAGATAAACCAAACATAATTCATGTTTATGCTGTGGTAGATTCAGCTGAGACCTTTGGAGGCACAAAACTGTTTATAATTTGAAAGCTGTTTTTTTCTGGAAAGAGCTTTAAACCAAAATATAATGAAATATAATATAGCCAAAATATAAAACTGGTGAAATGTTTTCTTCAAACTAAAGATACAAATTGCTGCATCACAAAGTCTGGTTTAAAAAAAGAGAGTAAGAAACAAAATTTGAACCATATTTTTCCTCATACCGATGTGGCCTTAAATTAAAACATTTTTTTGTTTACCTACGGAAACAGCCGAAGTGTTAGACAACATTGGTGATACCCACATAAGAGCTGTTTTAAATTAAAAGATCTGACATTTTAGATGTGTTGGTGCATATAATCGGATTTGTAGAGAGAAGTGTTTTGTTTACATTGAGTGTGTACCTGCATTACCATTTGATTTGTATCAGGAGTCAGATTTTACAGTTTAGATCCTTAAACATGATGAAATCAAAAGAGGTTTTTTTCTTACAAGCTGCCACACTAGTTCTCCAGGCTTTTTGGAGTGACAGTTCAAAGGTCTTCTTTAGATGTTGGCTGCGTTTTGTTCTGTTCTGTCAAGATGATCCCACACTGCTTTTATAACTCTGAGGGTTTGCTTTATGAGTTTTACAGCCCTTCTTCTATGAATGGTTTTCTTGTTTAAAATGATGCTACTGTCAAAAAGATGCTTTCCAAATGGCAAGTACATTTTATTCATTCAAGATCTTTAACAACATGAGCTGAAATGCAGCCAAACCAGGACAGAATCTCCTCTATTTGAGTTGGCTTTATGAACACTTCCAGTAACAACATGAACCACAATTCCTTGGATGTGTCAGCCCACGAAAACTTGATTTTCTGCCTAGTTTCTGAATAATTTGCCACACCTCGACTATTTCCTCAACGTTTATTTTTCCTTTCTTAATAACGAGTTCTTCGTTCACCTGTCTTCTGAGACCTTTTCCAATGGGACGATATGTAGGAGGATCAAGAAAAGAACCAGATGAGTCTTTCAGGTGCTGGATTTTCTCCTATTTCGGGAAAGTCGTTTTCCTTTTTTTTACGCACAAATGACTCAAGTTCATGTGTTGGAGTTTAAACTAAAACATCAAATATAATCATTATAAATTATGCTGACGGTATACTGTATCCTCATGTTCATATAAAAACTTTAGAAGGTCCTTCAGAAACTCTGCAGAACTTTTGTTCGTGGTAGTGCTTTACATTTGTCACTGTAGAAGCAAAACCTAAAGACATGAAGATTACACAAACCTGAAAGTGTATCTGACACACCTGCAGGTGTGTGAGTACGTACTTGTTTTTGCCACATGGTGGAGATGTTTTTTGATCATTTTCCCAGTAAACGCAGCCTTGTGGGGACCTATTGTTCCATATGGGGACAAAAGCCCAGTCCCCATTGAGAGGAATACCGTTAGTGGGTCATGGGTTAGGGTTAGGGCGGAGGTGTGAAGTGAGGTGTACTGGTGTGGTTAGGTTTAGGGTTAGGGGTCAGGATCAGGCCACAGAAATGAACAGTAAATGAATTGAAGTCAAAGTAAAGTCCCCATGAAGATAGAAGAACAAACGTGTGTGTGTGTGTGTGTGTGTGTGTGTGTGTGTGTTTCTGCTACAGAGTGAGAACAGTCATGTTTTTAACCAACAAAGTGAGGTCATTTTGTGGTGACTGGTATTCCCTACGTTGTGGGGCAGATTTTTTGACATACACACCTACTTGTGGGGACCTAATGTTACTTATGTGGACCTGAGTCTAGTCCCCATGAGGGGAAGTGCTGTTGGTGGGTTGGGGGTTAAGTTTAGGACCAAGGTGTGAATTGAGTTTAGGTTAGTTTTGGTATCAGTTAGGTAACTGTGAGGTTAGGGTTAGGGTTTGTGGTCAGGGTTAGGCTGTAGAAAACAATGGAAGTCAATGCCAGGTCCCCATAAAGATACCAGATTGTGGGTGTGTGTACTTGTATTTGTTACCTTTTTAGGACTCTTTCTGGTATACCTACCTAAAAACCAGTAGTCCTTAAGGAGACCAAATGCCGGTCCTATAATGGTGGAACTCCATTTTTGGGTGGGGGGGTTCAGTTTAGTTCTAAGTAGTGAATTGAGTTTAGGCTAGTTTTAGCTTTAGGTACTGGGGAGGGGTTACATTTAGGTAATGGAGTCAAGGATATGCTATAAAAACAACTGAAAATGAATGGAAGCCAATGAAATGTCCCAATGAAGATACTGTATGTGTGTGTGTGTGTGTGTGTGTGTGTTTTGTGATTAAATGAAATCAGCTGCAGCAGTGAAGCCTCTCCCTCTCGTCGGCCTTCAGGCCATCCCTCTCTCTGCAGAGGCAACGACCAGTCAGTCCTCCCTCTGCTTCAACTGAGCAACAATCAGCTCAGATTTTCCAGGATACACAAAAACCTGCAGCTCGTTCAGTCCTGGTTCCACCTGACCGTCCCGAGATGTTATTTCATCATGGCTCATGTTTTGGTTGAAATCATTACAACTCTGCAGAAATCTCATTTAGTAAAAGCCACGATGCAGTGCGGCGTGAAGGTGTGGGTGGGTGGGTGTTGCTGACAGGGGGTCACTCACAGTGGTGTTCTCGGTCAGACTCGTCAGGACAGGCAGATCATTGCTCATGGTCCAGGTCACAGTGAGTGAGCCCTGCAGAGGATGGAGAGAGTCATCAGTTAGAAACACGAACACTTCGTGTCTCATACACACTTCAAACTTCAGGGGATGTGACGAATAAACCCTGAATCCAATGAGAAGAACTCCTTTTGTTCTTCACGTCACGTTCTGATTCAGTTTAAACGCATCACATTACAGCCGTGCACCATGGGAGAAATTCAACATTCACTGTGTGAAAAACTCATCCTGGCATCAAATGTTGAATATAATAATTTTAATAATGATCTGCTCTTATGTTTAATTAGAATATATTTGAAACTTGAGTCTAATAATGCACCAAAAACACATTGTTTTCTCAAATATTCTGCAGCATTTCTGGTCCTTTTAAGTCTTAAATGCTATTTTAGCTTCTGAAAGGCTCAGACAGTTTTCTCTGGGGAATAAAAAAATGATGATACAAAAAAAAAGCTTCTGAGTCTTTGTTAGCTTGTTTGTTTGGCGTGCCAGATCAGCCACTTTATTGTGCATTTTCTTTTCTTTGTGAATCTAGAAAAAAATAGGAAGGAAAGTCATGATAGGCACATCTGATTGTCATTCTGTTCATATGACACTTTGGATCAAAACGCCCAAAACTTTTTTTTTTCAAAAGAAAGCAAGCTTTTCTTTTCATCTGCTTTGTCTATTTTTTTTCCTCTTGATGAGAGGCTGATCCAAGCATGTGGGCACTCAGTCCATTTGCATTTTGTGCTGCAGACAGTTGTGCAAAGAGACATCGTGGTTAAAGACACTCACTCTGTTTGGTGTTGACAACTTTATAGATCCTTTTACTGTATTAAAAGAAAAAGAAGAAAAGCTAAAACAGAAGCCAATCAGCTCTACCTGATAGTGAGAAAACAGATTTAATTTTACCAGAGGAGTATCTGTCATCACATCTGGTCAATATGAAACAAAATGTATTTTGTTTAGCTGTCAGGTGACCACACACTAGCCAAAATCTCAATCTGAATACATGTTTTCATGACTTTTCACATTTAGCGATACTTTAAATTTCAGATCTCTAAAAGGATGCTCCTGTGTGAGCTGCTTGTACCAGAGAGGATAAAAACCTTAAAGTTTTTCTTAGTTACTAGACACTTTATTTTATGTCTTTACAGACATACCTGTTAAAAACCAATCTGCAAATATTAAAAAGCCAAGTTTCAAGGCTGACAGCAGGATCTTTCATGTCTGAAGAAAATCTGCATCCTGTAAAGTCCTCTTTCATTTTTAATAATAATAATACTTCTGTTACAGTTTCAGATCTGCTGATGCGTCACTGACTTGTGCTCAAAGCTGCGGAAAAGTTGTTTGTTCCTGAAATATCCACTGATTCATCATCTGGTCCTACTGTGCAAATTTGGAACAAAATTGCTCTCTAAAACCTCGCTGGTCAAAGCTGATGAACATCACTATGAGCAAAGAAAACATTTGTAAAGCAAACATCTTGTTTTCACTCAATAAAAAGGAAAACATCGATTAACAAGACAAAATTATAGAAAACGGGAAGAAATCAGATGGGATTAAACAGGTATTATTAAAGAAATGAAAGCATGGTGCAGCTAAAGATGCTTTAAATGTTTTAAATAAATGCATCCCATTTTTGTGAGCAACTCTTATTTAATATAGCAGGTCAAGGTGTAAACTATGAAGGCACCAACTTCATCAGAACCATGTGGGTCATTGTTCCGTCTCGTTTTTACAGAAACCTTCGCCCTGACTGATGTTTCTGCTGCAGCCCCTCCTCACTCATCTGCTGATCGGATAATACTGTAGAGTTCCAATCTTCCAGAGGAATTTGATTTTCTTTAGATTTTCTTTTTCTTTGTTTTTTATGGAAAAGAGCAAAACAGAGGTGCGTCTAAACCGATTTTAAAAATGGCTCAACTCGGAGTTCTATTCATAACAGACCGCTGATGAGCGCACAATTATCCAGAGAGCAGCTTTTTATTGACCTTTTTAATCCCTCTTCAAATAATAATAATAATAATAATAATAATAATAATAATAATAATAATAATAATTCACTTTACAGCATCCATATTAATGTAAACATGTTGACACAAAACAAGCTGCATCTCCTGGAGTCACAAAAACTTTGATAAGAGGTCATTGAGTTCGTTATGATTTGCATCATTTTGACTTTTCAGCTTCATGCTGTCAATAAATCTGTTTTGTTTCTAAATCAACCCAAAGACTCTGAATAGTGGAAGAAAAACAACAACAACATAATCCAGACTGAGCGTGCGTTCGCGTGCACGTGTTATTTTCCAGGATTTAATATCATCATCATCACTCTGGCATCATCTCTGGTGTGTCATCCCGCCAGATGGAGGAAGAGGAGGAAGACTCTTCCTCCGCTGCAACAACACTGGTGGTATTTATGGATGAGGAGCAGTGTGTGTGTGTGTGTGTGTGTGTGTGTGTGTGTGTG